TTTGTCATTGGGTGAAAATAGACCTTGTCGTGGCCGCCCTCCACGAAGGCAGCATCCAGCACAAACTTCACGTCTCCTTGGTCGCAGAAGAGGGCAAGTGGTGTTGCGCACCCTTGGCCCACTTTTAATTTTTCCAACATGGCATTTTCATCAGCAAATCTTAAATTTCCACTCCCAACTCCCAGTTTTTTAGCAAGATCATTTAAATCAATCTGCCTGTTGTGTAGAACAGTGACCAACCAGAAGCCTTTCTTCTTTTTGTCTTTAAGAAAAAGGTTTTTACTGTGGCCTCCTTTCATGTGYTGGACATACGGCATCATTTCTTCAATAGTGAATACCTGGAAAATACAATTAGTGTAGTGTGAGACTATAGCCCATTAGATCTTTAGTTGCTTATTGACAGGAATCTTTTGTTAAGTATTTAGAAAATTCTGAATGTTACACTTGGCCTAAAAACTGTACCCTTTTTTGAAGAAATTTTAAAAGAACACAAATAAAACGTGACATACTGGTCCTACAGCCTTTCTCCATCATTTCTCTCTGATGTACACAGCAAGTGTCTGACGCTTCAAAAGGGGGAGAAGGCAGCTCTGCTCTGCAGACCCACCCCGCGTGGATCCCTACAAAGTGGGAGCAAGGGAAGGGCGTTTGGAAAGGGTTTTGCCTCTGGCATGTCCCAGACTTGGCCCCTCTGGACTGAAGGGCCCCGGTCTCCCTTGACTGGTGGACTTAGGTGCAGAGACACTGACTATCAAATGGYGCATCCATGTGCTGGAGCTCCCCAACAACACGGGAATTGGAGGGGAAAAGAGGCTCTGCCGGATGAGGAGTGACCAACAACGTCCCGAGGGAAATAAGCTAGCGAATATTCTTGAAACTATGTTATAATGATTGTTTTACATAGTTTATATATATATATATATATATATATATATATTTAAGGATATATTAAAGAAAAGCTTTATCACCTTTCTGCCAGGCTCAGAATTCACAGGTACACTTTCAGCAAAACACGAATTTTGATAATTTCAAGATTGAGAAAAAATCTAAAAATTTCTAAAAATTCTTAAAAAAAAATGTTCTAAAAATTTACATGCTTTAATCTGTGCTCTATTTTGTGTCCTGCCATAACTAAAATCTTACTTTTGCATTGAACGCAATCTGAAAAACGTAAGGAAGAAACCATAGCTAAAACCGGGACCGGGAAAGGCTGCCGAGGGGAGCGGCGCGCGGGGCCGCGCGGGGCCGGTGTCCCGCGGGGCCGGTGTCCCGCGCGGGGCCCGCGCCTACCTCGGGGTGCTCGGCCGTGACGCTGGCGATGCCCAAGGCCCGCAGGCGCCGCTCCAGCGCCTCGCGCAGCGC